AAATTATGTTGCATAGAGGTTCTGTTGCACTGCAGTTTTGCCGTCCTAGCTTGATCTTTGGACTCCGCGTGCGAGGCGAGAGTGGTTTGGGGAGGTCCAGGGAGGGTCTGAAGCCCACGGCGCCAACGACCATGATCAGACTTACAGTTGTTTTGCATTGCAGTTGTTGTTTTTGCATTGCAATTTGTTTTGTATTGCAGCTTTGCCGTTCTAGCTTCAGCTTTGGATCCCGCGTGCGAGGCGAGAGCGGTTTGGGGAGGTCCAGGGAGGGCCTGAAGCCATGATCAGACTTCCAGGTTTTTTGCATTGCTTGTTTGTTGCATTGCAGTTTTTTTGTTGCATTGCAGCTTTGCCGTTCCCAGGGGCCGGCCCGCGCGCGCGAACTAACAATATCGTTTACCGGTAACCGGAGATTTGAGCACGCCTCTGGCCCGTCGGGCTTCGAATTGAGTTTTAGAAGGATTTCGGCTTCTTGTAGGCCTCTCGGGGCGCTCTTGAAGCCATCTTGGAGCCATCTGGGGCCCCTCCTGGGCCTTTGTTTGGCCATCTTGGAGGGCATCGACCAACAAAGAAGGCGGCGTCAATTTAGATCCCCCCGTCGGAACCCTCAAAGTCGCCTTTGGGAGCTATCTTGGGACGCTCTTGGGGCGGTCTTGAGCGCTCTTGGGGCCGCCTTGGGACTCTCTTGGACCCCTCTTGGGGATCTCTGTGTCCATACCGGAGCCATCTCGAGGCTTCAGAAGCCCATCGGAAGCGAAAAGGCGAGAAGGCAAACAAAAACATTGATTTCTATTAGGTTGTGGACGGTTGATGGCCTCCCCAGGGCGTCCTTGGGAGGCCCTTTGGCCACTTAGAGCCGTCTTTGAGGGATCTTGAAGCCTCTTGGAGGTCTGTTGCAAGCTATCTATGGCCATGTTGGGCTATCTTCAGCGCTGTTGCCATCTTTAGCTTCTTGGACGCTCGCGAAAGACCCTGTCCGGTCCAGGGGGAGGGGGTACCGAAGAGGAAGAAGGGGGTTGGAAGAAGAGGGGGCTATCAAAACCACTCACGCCCTAAAGGGCTGGTGGGATTTTAGCCCCCTCCTCTGGGACCTACCTTCAAAAACGCCTCTTGGCGCCCTCTGGGGCCCCCTCTTGGTCGCTTCTTGGAGGCCTCTTGGGGCGTCTTGGGCCTCTTGGGCGTCTCTTGGCAGTCCCAGGAGCCTCTTGGAGCATCTTGGCTGCCTCTCGGGGGGGAGAGGCTCTTAAGGCCTCTTGAGAGCATCTTTGAGACTGAGTGGGAGTCTTTGGAAGCCTCTTGGGAGTTTCCTTGGAGCCCCTTGGGCGCCTCTTGGGGCCCTCTTGGAAACCTATGGGGCCCTCTCGGGACCACGAAAGAAAGAGAAGGAGAAACACATAGAGAGCTCAGAGAAGAAGACAAATGTAGAGAGCCGCGTCAGCTGCCATATCAGTTCTTCTGTCCCGAAGCAAACTAAGGTGCTGGGGCATAAGAACTTGTCTCCTCAAGCGGCCTAGAACATGCACGCGTGCTGCCAGTATGTCTGCAGCAGGGGAGTTAAAGGAGAGGGAGGTACAGATGCAATATGCTGCTGCTGCTGCTGCTGCTCTTCCTGTTGCTCCTCCTCCTCCTCCTCCTCCTCCTCCTCGTCCCCCTCCTCCTCCTCGTCCCCCTCCTCGTCCTCCTCCTCCTGCTCCCCCCCCGCCCCGTCCGTCCGCAGCGTGCGCCGCCCGCCGGCCCTGTCGCGATGCTCGGGCAGGGGGCGTGCGGTGAGGAGACCGGGGGGCGGGCGGTGTCGGCCCCCTGCGGGTCGCCACGGTCGAGCAGCAGCTCGGGCGCCGTCGCCCGAGATCGGCCCCCGGGACCACGCCCGCAGCACTCGGAGACGAACGAGCAGCTCCCGCAGAACAGGTGGTTCGGACTCCCCTCCCCTCCCCAAGAAGGCACGGTCGAGCATCGGCTCAGGCGCTTTCGCCCGACATCGGCCCCCGGGGCTATCATACAGCTGCCGGAAGCAACTAAGCAGCACTCACACAGAACATATGGCTCGAGCTCCCCTCCCCTCCACCCCAAGGCAATGTCGGTTCTGGATCTTCCGAGCTCAAAAGTCCGAGCGGTCGTGCGTAAGCGTGTCAATTTAGAATTGCAGGGGTGGGGTGCTTAGTTGTTATCCTCAACCGTCGGGCCCCAGAACCATCATATATCGACCCGGCTCGGAAAATGCTTCCGAAAGATGGGGTCTAGGGTTCCAGTCGCAATTTTTCGCCATGGTGCATTGGTTTCGCAGCGTCAGTGTGAGCTCGGCGATGGAGTGCCTGCCAGTTCTGCCCAGGCCCTTGGCTCCTCGGCCCGTCGTTCGGCAGCCCCAGACTTCCACGCGTCTCTCTTCACCCTTCTGCCCTGGGGCCCTCCGGGATGGTGGTGGGGCCCAAGACGAGGCCTGAGGTCTGGGGGCGTGCGCGTGCGGATCTTATCAGGGGCTTTGGCATCTCCCAGATGATAGGGCCCCGTCTTCTCTTCATCTACGAGGAGGAGGAGGAGGAGGAGGAGGAGGAGGAGGCGGAGGAGGAGGAGGAGGAGGAGGAGGAGGAGGAGGCAGTGGAGGAGGCGAGAGGAGGAGGGGGAGGAGGGAGGGAGGAGGAGGAGGATGGATGAGGAGGAGGAGGAGGAGGGGCAGGAGAATCAGGAGGAGGGGGAGGAGGAGGAGGAGGAGGAGGAGGAGGAGGAGGAGGAGGAGGAGGAGGAGGAGGAGGAGGAGGAGGAGGAGGAGGGGGGGGAAGGAGGCGGAGGAGGGAGGAGGAGGAGGAGGAGGAGGAAGAGAGGAGGAGGGGAGGAGAGGGAGAGGAGGAGGGGAGGCGGAGGAGGGGAGGAGAATGAGGAGGAGGAGGTAGGAGGAGGAGGAAGGAGGAGGAGGAGGAGGAGGCAGGGGGAGGAGGAGGGAGGAGGAACGGAGGTGAGGAGCGAGGCAGGAGGAGGATGGAGGAGGAGGAGGAGTGGGAGGTTAATCAGAAGGAGGCGGAGGAGGAGGAGCGAGGAGGAGGAGGAGGAGGATGGGTGAGGAGGCACGGAGCGGAGAGGAGGAAACGGAAGGAGGCAGGAGAGGAGGGAGTAGGGGGGAGGAATAGGAGGAGAGGAAGAAGGAGGAGGAGGAGGAGGAGGAGAGGAGGAGGAGGACGAGGAGGAGGAGGAGGAGGAGGGGAGGAGGAGGAGGAGGAGGGAGGAGGGGGAGAAAGAGGAGGAAGAAGAAGGAGAAGAAGAAGTCGAGGAGGAGGAGGAGGAGGAGGAGGAGGAGGAGGAGGCCACACCCCTTCGTCTGCGCACATGCCTTGGGCCACGGGTGCGTCCGCGTCTCCTCCCCTCTTTCTGGCCCCCTTCTTCAACGCACCCGGGTTCTGAGGCTCTGGGCTGTCGTCTCCCGGGGAGGTCGCCAGAGATCAAGAGCTTACTCGCCGATGTTGCTCGCCGAGCTCCGAGCGCTTGATTCTGAACCTCCCAGGTTGGTGGCTCGCACAATGTCGAGGGTTTTGGGGTAGGGTTGGGGGTTCGGGGGAGGGGGTAAAGACATGTTCGAAATCCACGGGTTCGTGCTCACTCGCAAACGGACGGCCAGGGACTGCGAGGTCGGGCGGGTGATACGGAGGGGCGGCGAGAGCGAGACTAACATCAGGCCAGTGTGGTGGGTGGGCCTCTGCACGACGACCGTCGGGGGCAGGGGCTGGTGATCGGGCGAGGTGGGAAGGCGAAACAGGAACGATCATCCGCGCGGTCAGTTAGTAGGAAAAATATCCCACAGCCAGGGGATTGGCAGATCGGGTGAGGTGGGAGGTGGGGCGGGGTGCGGGCAGGAGCGAGGGCCGATCAAACCAGTTGGGTCGGGGCGCGACACGGTCTGGCGAGGTGTGGCATGGGAGAAAGACCAGCACCTGTGGGGCTGGGATTTCCCTTGTGAGACGAACTGGGGGGTCGGACAAGGCGGTCGGATGGGAGGGGGCTCATCGACTGCTTAGACAGACCGACTGCAACGTTGACAGCGACGGCGTCCACAACGACGATGGCGACCACCACCACCACCACCACCACCACCACCACCACCACCACCACTACGACGACAACGATCGACGACGATGACGACTCGCTCTCCACACGGCTCCGCCCTTCCCTGGAGCGCGAAGCGCCCCAGGGGGGCCGCCAGGGGGTTCTGGCGACAATTCAAGCAAGAAATCCGCGCGGACCTCCGAAAGTTCATGCTTATGCTCAGCGTTCTATTTCTCCCAGCGCGCCTCTACGGCCGGGCTGTTGCGCGGGCACTCCAGTGCGGGTCTGTGATTCGGACGGGCGCGATGTAATGATGGCATCGACAATGGCGGTCACTATGATGACACCAGCGATGAAGGCAATGTTGATCCTCACCCATCAGAGATCTGAAGAAAAACATGAAAAGCGGCAACTTGCACGGATTCCAGATTTTGCTTAAAGAAACCAAGAATCTGGAATGGACCCTGGACGTTTTCCTGTATTTTCTTTCCTTCGGAGAATGTTCGCATACTGGCCTGGACTACTGGTTAAGAACATAGAAAATGCTTGGAGCAAGATGTTATTAACTCTAGGCTGGGGTGTAGCAGGAGCGGCGATGGGGAGGTGGAGCAGGGTGTATAACCGATGGAAGCAATTAAGACCCCCCGTTCCGGTGAAACGATAACGCATCCAATCCAGCACCCAGAGGCGTTACTTTGGCAGCTTGAGGAGGGGGAGAGGACCAGGAGGAGGAGGAGGAGGAGGAGGAGGAGTCAACCCTTACTAGTTGTAGATGTCGGCCGCGGGGGCGGGGGAAAATTATGTATTCGTTGCGGTGTAGTGCGGTGCTGCAGGTATCGCTCCGCGAAATCCGCCCCCTGCGAACTATTTGGTCTCGTTTCGGTGCTAACGACAGCACAGAGGCGGGTCCTTCATTGCCTTCCTGGGTTCGCATGGGGGGGGGGAGGCCGAGAGGGGGGGGGCCGCAGGCGCCCCCCGCGACGATCCTCGTGCCCGACGGCGGCGGCGGCAGCTTCTCGGCCCTGTCCCGCGCCATGCGCGAGACGACGATCAAGGCGGGGGGGGGGAGGGTCGAGGAGGAGGAGGAGGAGGAGGCGGAGGAGAAGGAGAATGAGTAGGAACGGGAGGAGGAGGAGGAGGAGGCAGGAGGGGAGGAGGAGGAGGAGGAGGAGGAGGAGGAGGAGGATCGAGGAGGAGGAGGATGAGGAATCGGGGAGGATCGGGGAGTATTGGGGAGGATCGAGGAGAATCGATGAGGAGGAATAAGAGGAGGAGGAGGAGGAGGAGGAGGAGAAGGAGGGAAAGCAACGATGAGGATGAGGATGTCGATGAGGAGGAGGAGGAGGAGAAGGAGGAGGAGGGCGAGGAAAAGGAGAAGAAGTAGAAGGAGGAGGTGGAGGAGGAGGGAAAGCAGCGATGAGAATAAGGGTCCCGATGAGGATGAGGGGGAGGAGGAGGAGGAGGAGGAGGAGGAGGAGGAGGAGGCGGAGGAGGACCAGTGGAAACCCAAGAGTCATCAACGTTGTTGGAATTAATCCTCCCTTCAAGCTCCCTCTCTATAGGCCCCTGCAACGGTTCATTTCCATTGGGGGAACCGTCTCGTCGGAGGACCACAGTTTGAAGATCCTGAAGCGTGCCAAAGCATTGTTCTCGGGATATGTTGTTAAAGCTCGAGTTAAATATTATAGTCGGAGTGCACTATCCCCAAACAGGGTTTTTAGACCCACTGCGGTTTCCAAGGTCGATTGCGTGCCCGTCCAGTGCGGGATGGCATGGCATGTTAAAACATGCCTCCTCCTCCTCCTCCTCCTCCTCCTCCTCCTCCACCTCCTCTTCATCCCGAAAGGCATCTCGGAGCCCAGAGTTGCGAGGATGTCTCCAGCGTAACGGGAGGGACCACCTCGCGCGCGGCATTTCGGACCCCAGAGTTGCGACGATGTCTCGGGCGAAACGTGCTGCGAGGAAGTCTCAGGCGAAACGGGCCGGACCACCTCGAGCGCGGCGTCTCAGAGCTCCGAGTTGCGGGGGCCTCCTGGGCCTCCTGGGACCTCCTGGTGACCTCCTCCTGGGGCTTCCTCCTGGGCTTCCTGTGGCCTCCTGGACCCCACCTGGGGCTTCCTGAAGCCTCTTGGGGCTCCCAGGGGGGGATATCTAACATGTGGCCGCTTGGGCCTCCCAAAATGAGGGGGGGGCACAAGAGCAGGAATAATCAACGAATCGACACCGGATGTGTATTAACTTGACACGTTCTGATAGGGGGCCTCCTGGGGCCTCCTGGGAGCCTCCTGGGAATCTCCTGCGGACCCCTGGGGCCTGTCCTGGGCGTCCTGCGGCCTCCTGAAGCTCTCTGAGGCCTCCTGGGGCTCCCAGGGTCCCAGAGAGGATATGTAACATGTGGTCTTCTGGGCCCCCAGGCTGGACCACCTCTTGCGCAGCATCTGGGAGCTCAGAGTTGCGAGAATGTCTGGTGCGAAACGGGCCGGATCACCTTGCGCACGGCATCTCAGATCTCAGAGTTGCGAGGATGTCTCAGGCGAGATGGGCCGGACCACCTCGCGCAGGGCATCTCGGAGCCCAGAGTTGCGAGGATGTTTCCAGCGTGACGGGCTGGACCACCTCACGCGCGGCATTTCGGACCCCAGAGTTGCGAGATGTCTCGGGCGAAACGTGCTGCGAGGAGTCTCAGGCGAAACGGGCCGGACCGCCTCGAGCGCGGCGTCTCAGAGCTCCGACTTGCGGGGGCCTCCTGGGGCCTCCTGGGACCTCCTGGTGACCTCCTGGGGCTTCCTCCTGGGCCTCCTGTGGCCTCCTGGACCCCACCTGGGGCTTCCTGAAGCCTCTTGGGGCTCCCAGGGGGGGATATCTAACATGTGGCCGTCGGGGCCCCCCAAAATGGGGAGGGGGGCACAAGAGCAGGAAAAATCAACGAATCGACACCGGATGTGTATTAACTTGACACGTTCTGATAGGGGGCCTCCTGGGGCCTCCTGGGAGCCTCCTGGGAATCTCCTGCAGACCCCTGGGGCCTGTCCTGGGCGTCCTGCGGCTTCCTGAAGCTCTCTGGGGCCTCCTGGGGCTCCCAGGGTCCCAGGGGGGATATGTAACATGTGGTCTTCTGGGCCCGCATGCTGGACCACCTCTTGCGCAGCATCTGGGAGCTCAGAGTTGCGAGAATGTCTTGTGCGAAACGGGCCGGACCACCTTACGCACGCAATCTCAGAGCTCAGAGTTGCAAGGATGTCTCAGGCGAGACGGGCCGGTGTCTCGGGCGAAACGTGTTGCGAGGAAGTCTCAGGCGAAAGGGGCCGGACCACCTCGAGCGCGGCGTCTCAGAGCTCCGAGTTGCGGGGGCCTCCTGGGGCCTCCTGGGGCCTCCTGGGGACCTCCTGGGGCTTCCTCCTGGGCCTCCTGTGGCCTCCTGAACTCCACCTGGAGTTTCCTGAAGCCTCTTGGGGCTCCCAGGGGGGATATCTAACCTGTGGCCGCTTGGGCCTCTCAAAATGGAGGGGGGGGCACAAGAGCAGGACAAATCAACGAATCGACACCGGATGTGTATTAACTTGACACGTTCTGATAGGGGGCCTCCTGGGGCCTCCTGGGAGCCTCCTGGGAATCTCCTGCGGACCCCTGGGGCCTGTCCTGGGCGTCCTGCGGCCTCCTGGAGCTCTCTGGGGCCTCCTGGGGCTCCCAGGGTCCCAGGGAGGATATGTAACATGTGGTCTTCTGGGCCCCCAGGCTGGACCACCTCTTGCGCGGCATCTGGAAGCTCAGAGTTGCGAGAATGTCTTGTGCGAAACAGGCCGGACCACCTTGCGCACGGCATCTCAGAGCTCAGAGTTGCGAGGATGTCTCAGGCGTCACGGGCCAGACCACCTCGCGCAGGGCATCTCAGAGCTCAGAAGTTCGAGGATGTCTCAGGCGGGCTCCCAGGGTCCCAGGGAGGATGTGTAACATGTGGTTTTCTGGGCCCCCAGGCTGGACCACCTCTTGCGCGGCATCTGGGAGCTCAGAGTTGCGAGAATGTCTAGTGCGAAACAGGCTGGACCACCTTGCGCACGGCATCTCAGAGCTCAGAGTTGCGAGGATGTCTCAGGCGAGACGGGCCGGACCACCTCGCGCAGTACATCTCTGAGCTCAGAAGTTCGAGGATGTCTCAGGCGAAACGGGCCGGACCACCTCTCGCGCGGCATCTCCGAAATCAGAGTTTCGAGGATGTCTCAGGCGAAACGGGCCGGACCACCTCGCGCAGGGCATCTCAGAGCTCAGAGTTTCGAGGCTGTCTCAGGCGAAACGGCCCGGACCACCTCTCGCACGGCACCTCGGGGCTCAGAGTTTCGAGGATGTCTCAAGCGAAACGGCCCGGACTACCTCTCGCGCGGCGTCCCGGAGCGTAACTTTTCGAGGATGTCTCAGGCGAAACGGCCAATCCCGGCCAACTCAGAAACGAGAGCTGCGAGGATGTCTCAAGCGAAACGGCCCGGACCATCAAATTTTTGTGAGGATGTCTCTGCTCCGACTTCCTACGGCCGGAGTTAGCTTCTATCACAACAGCACCCCGTTCAGCAAGCTGTTTGGGGAATGATAAAAAAAAAACCTACAAAGGAACAGGGGGAAGGGGAAGCGAGGGAGAGAGATACATACTAAAAGGTTCACTCTCGATTATATATATACATATATATATGTATCTACTTACCCAACGCACATAGATGTACCATTAAATATACATATATATATATACATAGATGCATATACATATATTCATCGATTTGCATATACACATATATATATATATATATATATATATATTCTTTCTAAGAGAAATGACCGCGTTCGCTTCGACATTCGCTTCGCAACGCGCCAAGGAGTACCGAAGCTGCACATTTCTACTTGTCTCAAAGATTAAGACAAAGTGCTCGAGGTCCACTTCGGAAGTGTAATATGGTAGATTTGGTCTCTACAGATTTATCTTTTGCCTTGGCTGTTTTCTTCGTTCTCCGCCGTTTCAAATACCGTGGCGAGTTTAATCGTCCAGTCAGATGTTGATTCTTCTTTGGATTGTACTGAAGAGTTTTCTCGATTGTGGCACGCTTTTAAATATAACTTATTGGATACAGTATCTGATGTTGGGGACATGCCACGAGTTCGGTTTCGTCCCGGCCCGCTGGGCTCTACCCTCGGCCCCGACGTCAGTTTTGAGAGTTGTTGTTTTCTATGTTGTTGTTCGCGTTTTCCCCGTTGTTTGTCCAATGCGTTTTTGTTGCTGTCTTTTGTTATGTCCTTTTGCTTCTCGTTTTCTTGATACCCGGCCTTCTTGTTTCTTTTCCCTTTTCGTCTTCGTCCCCCGCCTCTTCTTGTAGTTGTGTTGTTGTCCTTTCTCTGTTTTCGTTGTTTTCTGGGTCTTTGACGATCCAGAATCGTGCCAGAACGCCATTTGTGAGATTTTAACACAGCGAATGAACATACTTGTTCCGCCCGCATAATCCTGAATCCTTCCAAAACACCGCTGCTGGTACGCTGATCATGGTAACCCTTGTTTACAACGAATGTGCGCGGCGCTAAGGGGGGAACCACATTTTGAAAGCGACCCGCCCTCAATCCGTGAAGTTCTTGCAAATGTTTACAAGGAATGTGCGCGGCGCTAAGGGGAGAGCCACATTTTGAAACGACCCGCCCTCAATTCGTGAAACTCTTTGCACATGTTTAATTCCACTGTGCGCAGTGCTAAGGCGAGAGCCACAATTTGAAAACGACCCGCCCTCAATCAGTGAAACTCTTGCACATGTTTAAGACGAATGTGCGCTGTGCTAAGGCGAGAGCAACATTTTGAAAACCACCCGCCCTCAATCCGTGAAGCTTGTGCACATGTATAAAACGAATGCGCGCGGCGCTAAGGCGAGAGCCACATTTTGAAAACAACCCGCCCTCAATCCGTGAAGCTCTTGCACATGTTAAAACGAATGTGCGCTGTGCTAAGGCGACAGCCACATTTTGAAAACCACCCGCCCTCAATCCGTTAAACTCTTGCATTTTTTAAACGAATGGGCGCTGTGTTAAGGCGAGAGCCACACTTTGAAAACCACCCGCCTCCAATCCGTTAAACTCTTGCAGAATTGTTTAAACAAATTCGCGCGGCGCTAAGGCGAGAGCCACATTTTGAAAACCACCCGCCCTCCATTTGAGAAGCTGTTGTCAGCTTTCAAGCTTCAGAGTCATACATGGTGGGGAAGTTTCAGGCGAAACGCCCTGCTCGCCCTAAAAACTGGCCTCCGGATGCGACAGGGAGGAGTTATGCATAAGGAGAAGGAATGGAGGAAGGAGGAACGAGGATCGAGGAGGAGGGTCGAAGAGGAGGAGGAAAAGCAGGAGGAGGAGGGTCGATCGATCCGGGCCCCAGATTGGACAGTGAGTGAGGTGACTGGACATGTCGCATATGAGGCATTTAGAGCAGTTAGTTTGACTGCACAAACAAGCCAATGGTAAGACTGATGAGTGCGTTTACGACAGAGCCAACCTACATCTTGAGATGGCCCAGGATGTTCTAAAAATATGGTTTGGAACTGAGGGCGGTAGGCATGGCGAGCACTTGAGATAGCTATCCTAAGCCAGGAGTTTCTGGAAAACTGGATCGGGCCTCCAGGGTCCCGAGGCCCCTGGTTGTATCCTTGGGCCGCAAAGCCCACAGGGCCCGTTGGAACGGGTTCGAGTGGCGTTGCCTAGATTGGGCCCGTGTGTCGGACACCAACAACCCAAAGAGGTCTTGTGCAGCCTTGGCCCCTTCTTTGCGCTCGTGTATACATGTTTCTCTGTTTGTGTTCTTTGTTTGTTCTTTATCTCTTTCTCTCCCCCTCTCTCTCTCTACACAACTCTCTCTCTCTCTCTCCTTCTTTCTCCCTTCGTCGTTCTGCCTCTCTACTTCCCCCTCTTCCCCCTATGTCTGTCGCTCTCTCTCTCTCTCTCTCTCTTTCCCGCTCTCTCTCTCTCTCTCTCTCTCTCCCTCCCTGTCTTCAACCGTCCACCGCCTGCGCGCCTTCCTGCTGCACCGCAGGGCGCCCCGGCGACCAAGCCAATGCCCGAGGCACCTGCGCGGGTGGCTGGCAAGATCCAGGGGCAATGGGGAGAGGAGAGAGCACGAGCCTATCGATACGAATTCCTTCCAGGCAACGCATCAGCGGAAACAGGGAAGTGTTGCGTTCAAAACTCGATAGCACCGACGGTCTCGCCTCTCCTCTCCTCTCCTCTTCTCTTCTCTCCTCTCCTCTCCTCTCCTCGTCTCCTCCTCGTTCCTCATCGTGCCGACTTCGTCTCACAGTGTTAGGGGCATTGCGATTTGATTCAGAATGCGAGCCGCTGGGTGTGATGTGCGTGGCATGTTGAAAGGTATGCTCAGTGGGGACATAAGAGATACATGGGTAACGGACATCGGCCGAAGTATCGTGCTGTAAACTGTCATCCAGCGCCTCCATCACACCGCCTCCTCCGTCGCCGTCGGTATCCTATCTGGCGCCTAGTGGGCCCACCACGATGTCAGCGGCCCGCGTGTCGTCACCAGAATCATCGCGACCCCCCTGAGCTGCCATGCTCGCCTGGAACGCTAGCGCCACGATCCCCTTGCAGAACACCGTTCAGGTTTCACCGCGTTGCATTGCGTTGCGTTGAGGTGCGTGCTGCGTTGCATCATCGTCTGCCGTACTGCAGGGTTGAAAAGGGACGAGAGGGCAGGACGGTGTCTTCTTGTGCTGCACGGGGTATTATTTTGCACCCCCGCGTGGGGGGGGCATCGTAGTTGCCCCTCCTTTCCCCGCGCCCGCTCGCCCGCTCGGAGGGGGCAGGAGCCGTCGTGAAGGAGGCCCGCACGTCAGGTGGGGTTTCGGCCTCCGGGGGGGCTGCTGTCGGGCCCGTTGGACCATCAAACGTGGACCTGAGATGTAAACGTGTCCCTGGGGAAGCTGTCTCCCCCGCTTCTCTCCCTTCCTTTCCGTCCCTTCCCGCCTTTTTCGGACGGGGCCAGGACGAGCATAAATCCATTCCAGAGCGTTCCGCAACGCTCTCAGAGCCTTCGGGAACGCTCTGAGAAGGCCGCGGCGCCCGAAACATTCTCTAGAGCCGCCGGATCTCAGAGATTCTCGATGCCGATTTTGTCCTCGCCCTGGCGTCGTCTCACTTTTCCCCCCTTCCGTCGTCCTCGTCGTCATCGTTACTTTTCCGTCCTCGTCGTCCTCCCTTGCTTCCCCCCGTGCTGGCCGGCCGCGCGGTTTCGGTGGACGGCCCCCGGCCGATGCAGAGCCGCAGTGCGCCGCAGACGGCCCCGCTTCTCTCCCCACGGGAGTGCAGCGCGGTTCTGCCCCCCTCCCTCCCACCGTCTCCCCTTCCCTCCCCCCTCCTCTCTCCCCCCCCCTCTTCTCCCCCCACCCTCCCTCCCTCCCCCGTCCTCCCTCCCTCCCCCTCCCTCCCTCCCTCCCTCCTCCCTCCCTCCCCCCTCCTCCCTCCCTCTCCCCCCTCTTCTCCCCCAGCCTCCTCCCTCCCTCCTCCCGCCTCCTTGCTCCTCCCCTCCTCACCAGCAGGGGGCATCCCCTCTCTCAGGCCTCCCTTTTTGTCTCTTTCTTCTTGGGCATGCCGCCGTTGGGAGCCCCGTTTTGTCCCCATTCTCCTCCAAACCCTCCTTCTGCTGATCCCCCTCCTCCCGGGGGGGGAGAGACGAGGGAGGAGGAAGGAGCCGGTAGGCACGGTAGGCGTCAGGGCCAGGAGGCAGGTAAGGAGGAGGGAGAGAGGGAGGGGGTAGGGCGGGAGAAGGAGGAGGCAGGAGGCCTCAGGCTGAGGCAAGAGGGAGGACAGAGGAGAAGGAAAGAGAAAGAGGAGGCAGAGGTTGAGGGTAAGGAGGAGAAGGAGGAGAAGGCCGAATGAGGTGTGAGAGGGGCGGTGGACGAGGAGGACGAGGAGGAATTGTTTCATATTTACCGGATGTTAGATGACATTCCTCAGGAAGTCGATTAGACAGCAGTGGCATCCCGCCGCTGCACCGCGCCCACCGAATAGCAGTCACTGCAGCGGACGGGAAACAGTGAGGCATGTAGTATGCGAAATGTGAAAAAAATAGGTCGAAGGCAAATCACGAATGCATAAGCAGGCACGAGCGAGCCCATCGATTTTCTCTGCTCCATCCTTCTCCTCGTCTGTGTAAGTGCTACGCCTCGCTCCTCCTCCTCCTCCTCCTCCTCCTCCTCCTCGCTGTTGCTTTTCTCCTCATCCTTCTCTTCCTCCTCCTCCTCCTCCTTCTCCTCCACCTCCCGCATCCCCCCCTTCCTCATCCCTCAGTCCTCCGCCCTCATTTGTCTTCTCCTCTTCCTTATCCTGTTCCTCCTCGTCATCCTTTACTTCCTTCCTTTCCTGCGCTTCCGTCCTCCTCGTCCTCGTCCCTCCTCCTACTCCTCCTCCACCTCCTCCGCCTCCTCCTCCCCCTTCTCCTCGCCCTCCTCCTCCTCGCCCTCCTCCTCCTCCTCGCCCTTCTCCTCCTCCGCCTCCTCCTCCTCATCCGCCTCATCCTCCACCACCTCCTCCTCCATACTCCTGAGGCCTCCTGCCTCTTCCTTCTCCCGCCCTACCCCCTCCCTCCCTCCCTCCTCCCTCTTGCTTGTCTCCCTCCTCCTCCTCCTCCTCCTCCTCCTCCTCCTCCTCCTCCTCCTCCTCCTCTCCTCCTCCTTCTCCTCCTCCTCCTCATTATCGTTATCATCCTCATGCTCATCATCATCTTCTTCCTCCTCCTTCTCCTCATCCTTCTCCTCCTCTCCTCCGCATCATCATCATCTCATCATCATCATCATCCATCATCATCATCATCATCATCATCATCATCATCACATCATCATCATCATCATCTTCATCATCATCATCATCATCATCATCATCATCATCATCATCATCATCATCATCATCATCATCATCATCACCACCATCATCATCATCATCATCATCATCATCTTCATCATCATCATCATCATCAGCAGCAGCAGCATCATCAGCATCATCAGCATCATCAACATCATCATCATTCTCATCACCATCATCATCATCATCAGCATCAGCAGCACCATCATCATCATCATCAGCAGCAGCATCATCAGCATCATCATCACCATCAGCAGCAACATCATCAGCAGCATCATCATCACCACCATCATCACCATCATCATCATCATCACCATCATCATCAGTATCATCATCACGTTCATCATGCTCATCATCAGCAGCAGCATCATCAGCAGCAGCATCATCATCAGCAGCATCATCATCAGCATCAGCATCATCAGCAGCATCATCACCGTCACCATCATCATCATCAGCATCATCCGTATAATCACCATCATCATCAGCATCATCAGCATCATCATGATCATCCTCATCCTCATCTTTCTCTCTTCCCTGCCCCTCCTCCTCCTCCTCCTCCTCCTCCTCCTCCTCTTCCTCTCTCTCCTTCTGACCCCTCCTCCTCCTCCTTACTTCCTCCCCCGCCCAGGAGGGGAGAAGGACGAGGCCCAAGCAAGGACCGCACAGCGCAGAACAAGACAAGCAAAAGCACAGCGGGAGGGCCCACAGCCCAGGCGCCCCAGGCCGGGGCAAAGCTCGCGCCGGCGCTGCTTCCCCCAGCGAGGGGCCCGCCGGCCAAGGCACCGCCCTTCGCGAAGGACGGGCCTTCGTCGTCGTCGTTGCCGTCGTCGGCAGCGTCGTCGTCGGCGCCGTCGGAATCGAGAAGGAGGAGGTGGTGGGGGAGGAGGAGGAACGAGGACAAGGAGGAGGAGGAGGAGGAGGAGGAGGAGGAGAAGGAGGAGGAGGAGGAGGAGGAGTGGGAGGCGGACGGGGAGGACGAGAGGGATGGCAGAAGAGGAGGACGAGGGAGGACGTGAAGGACCAGGACGAAGAGAAGGACGAGGGAGGAGGAGGAGGAGGAGGAGAAGGAGGAGGACGATCAGGACGACGAGGACTACGTGGACGAGTACGAGGAGGAGGCGGAGCAGGAGGAGGAGGAGGAGGAGGAGGAGGAGGAGGAGGAGGAGGAGGAGGAGGAGGAGGAAGAGGAGGAGGAGGAGATGGAGGAGGAGCAGCAGCAGCGGGAGGACCAGGAGCAGGATGAGCAGGATCGCGCCTTGCACTGTCGTCGCGCTGCCCTTCTTTCCCGTCCTGCAGCCCGCCCTTGGGGGCCCTTGCTGGGCCTCGGGACCGTCAAAAAAACCGCCCAGGAAGCAAAGCCGGCCTTGGGGCAGGGGTCCGGGCTTCCGGGGACCGCGTCCCGAAACAGTCCAGACATCGCGTGTCTGGGCCTCCTCTTCCGCCCCCGCCCCCTGGGCCCCCCCGGGGCGTGACCGCGTGCCCTCCGCTCGGCAGGCCTGGCCAGCACGCACGGAGCGGCACGGGTCACGCGCGCACGCGCCTCCCGCCTGCCGCGCCTCGCCTTTGCTCTCCGCTGCCCGCCGCGCCTTTCCCGCCTGCTGTGGCCTTCTCTCCCACCTGCTGTGGCCTTCTTCGGACGGGGCTAGGCCAAGGATGGTCCGTTGCATGGCGTTCCGCAACGCTCTCAGAGCCTTCGGGAACGCTCTGAGAAGGCCGCGGCGCCCGAAACATCCTCCAGAGCTGCCGGATCTCAGAGATGCTCGATTGATCCTCGCCCGGTGTTATCTTCGCCTTGGCTTCCTCTATTTCCCCCCCCCCCCCCCCGTCGCACTCCTGGTCCTCGTCGTCCTCGCTCCTTCTCCGCCCTCGTCGTCCTCGGTCCTTTTCCGCCCTCGCTCCTCTTCCGTTCTCGTCCCGGCTTCGTCTTGCCTCCCTCCCCGCCCACCCCACCCCGCTGCGGCCCCCCTGCGTGGCCGCGTGCCCCCCCCCCTTCCCCCCCCCCTTCCCCCCCCCGCCGCCGAGAGGAGCCGCCGATGCTGGGCGGGGGCCCAGGGCCCCTCGACACCGACGCGGTGGGGAAGAGCCCGCCAGGTGCGGGGCGGGGCCAGCCGCAACCGCGCGGCCTCCTGCTGCTCCTCCTGCTGCTTGCTCGCCGCACGGAGGCAGGGACGGAGGCAGGAAGGGAGATGCTTTATCGGAGGGTCCAGGTGGCAGGCCAACGTATGGCAACATGTGCCTCCTATGGGGTGCCTCGTGGAGGTGCCGGCAGGCTGGGCCAGGTCCGCGGCGACCCAGGGCTGGCCGCCAAGAGCACTGGCCAGGCGCAACCCTGGAGAGGCGAGTCTTTACAAGGTCTCGGTGAGGCGCCTCCACGGAGACATTGGTGATACGCGTGTCTGGCGATGGGAAGTGGGCAGGACCGCCGCAGCAGCAGGGACTGTGGACACGGCGCGCAACAGCTGATCGCACCGAACCCCGTCCAAGAAGCGGGTGTAAAAAGGCGCGCATTGTCTCAGGGGCTGACCAGCCACCCTGGGCCTGCACCAGCTCTTCCAGCAAGCGGCACAGAGTCTTGTACCAGTGAGCTCCGGGAGAGATTTTGTTGTTCTTCCGGGAAGCAGCCCGTTTATTTTTTAGTTCGCTGAGTTTGATTCTGGGAATGGTTTTTTGTCCAGGAAGACCGTGTTAGCAGTCACGGATTTGCCAGCCTTCGCCCAGCTTCCAAGAACTGCGCGACAATTCTGCGGAATGAGTCGGAAGTTGCGGCGCGAAGCTCGGCCAAGTGAGTCGCGCAGAAGACGGGCGCTTCGGAGTCGGAGCCCCAAGCGGGCGGCCCGCTGCACCACCCGCCCCCGCAGGAGGTGGCACGGGCAAAGAGCAGGGCGGCCTGGCATCCGCGGGAGGCGACACGCCATGCCCTGGCCGAGCAGGCCCTTCTTCTGGCGAGCAACAGAATCGTCGCAAAACCGTCGTGCAGAAACATGTCTCGACGCCGGAGCGCGAGTGTCTCGGCGCACCTTCGGATGCTGAGAAACGAGACTTGCTGCGATGGCGACGTCCCGGACAGCGGCACGGCTGCTTGCTTTGACGCGAGCAGTCTGGCAGCAACGCAGCTCTTCCAGGGACACCGGGCGCTTCGCGTGAGATCGCGAATGGTCGGCCCGTTTCCCAAAACCCCTCCAGAATTGCGCTGACCGGTCGGTCCATGCACCGCCGAACAGGGAAGTTAAATTGCGTTGTTGTTGTTGTTGTTGAACATCATTTCTTCTTAAGAATAATTATTGTTGGGACCCCTGGTGCGCGACCCCCCCGCCGCGCCTAGGCCGCAGCCACATTTTCATCATTTTCGTGAGGAAGTCTCAGGCAAAACGATTGGTACCGGATCCGGTTTTTTGTTGACGCTCGTTTTCCCTTGCAAAAAACAATAGAAAATGAAAATTCTTGTTCTTAGTTGATCAAATTGCAAGAATCCCTTGCAAAAAATAAGGTAAAGTGGACATTCGTGCGCGCAAGACGAAATCCTTCCAAAACCTTAGGTTTCGTAACGATTTTAACATAAAAACATCAAAAACCCAATGGTTTTTTAAGAAAAAATTGTCAAAATGTCCTTCCGCGCGCGCTGTCCGAATCCCACAAAACCAATGGTTTTTCAACATTTATGTTACATGAGCTCGCGCGAGCTACTTTTTCTTGTTCTAACATAATCAAATTTCAATAATCCCTTGCAAAAAATAAGGTAAAGTGGACATTCGCGCGCGCAAGACGAAATCCTTCCAGAACCTTAGGTTTCGTAACGATTTCAACATAAAAACATCAAAAACCCAATGGTTTTTCAAAAAAAAATGTCCAAATTTCATCCCGCGCGCGCTGTCCGACTCCCACAAAACCAATGGTTTTTCAACATTTATGTTACATAAGCTCGCGCGAGCTACTTTTTCTTGTTCTTACATAATCAAATTTCAACATCCCTTGCAAAAAAAAAGTAAAGTGGACATTCGCGCGCGCAAGACCAACAAAAAACACGACGATCTCAGGAACTTGCCCCAAAAATGTGACCAACTCCGCTCTCTCTGTCTCTCTCTCTGTCTGCTCTCTGTCTCTCTCTCTGTCTGTCTGTGTCATGTATTGTATGTCACAATTGCAGGATGCTGGGCACACGCGCGCCCCGAATAAGTGACCAAGTTCTGTGGGTGTGTACCCCACGCCAGTGTAGTAGCCACGGTCGTCCGCACGCCACGAAGTGAAGTGTCCCAACGTCATAGGGCGGGAAGCTGGGTTTGGGTGGTCGCGAAGAGTCGTTTGGATATTTGGTAGAGCTTGAACTGCCCCCCCACGAAGTGGGGGTATTGTCTCGCGTCGCATGAAAACCCTGGCACTGGTAAGAACACTGAGCGTTCGGGTAAAATGATTGTTGTTGTTGTTGTTGTTGTTGTTGTTGTTGTTGTTGTTGTTGTTGTTGTTGTTGTTGTTGTTGTTGAACATTATTTATTCTAAAGAATAATTATTGTTGGGCCCCCTGGTGCGCGCCCCCCCTGCGCCGCCTAGGCCGCAGCTACATTTTCATCATTTTCGTGAGGAAGCCTCAGGTAAAACGATGTGATCCAGATCCGGTTGTTTTGTTGTAATCCGTTTTCCCTTGCAAAAAACACTATAAAATGACATTTCTTGTTCTAATATAATCAAATTTCAAGAATCCCTTGCAAAAAATAAGGTAAAGTGGACATTCGCGCGCGCAAGACGAAATCCTTCCAAAAGCTTAGTGTTCGGAGCGATTTTAACATAAAAACATCAAAAAACCAATGGTTTTTCAACAAAAAAATGTCAAAATCTCATCCCGCGCGCTCTTGCGGATTCGTAGGAAACCCAACACTTTTTAAACATTTCTGTCAAACGGGCTTTTGCGAGCAACTTTTTCGAACTTCTGCGACAACGGTTGCGCACCTGCCAGGGCCATCATCCCTGTCAAATAATACCATGCGGGACACATTCGTTTTTTCTTCGCGCGCGCACGCCGTCGTCGTCGGCCGCGGGGCCCTGAATAGTAGCCACGGTCGTCCGCATGCCACGAAGTGAAGTGTCCGAACGTCATAGGGCGGGAAGCTGGGTGTGGGTGGTGGCGAAGAGTCGTTTGGAAATTTGGTAGAGCTTGAACCGGCCCCCCCACAAAGTGGGGGTATTGCCCGCCTCCTATGAAAACCCTGGCACTGGTGAGAACGGAGTGTCCCCACGTGCTAGTAATTGTTGTTGTTGTTGTTGTTGTTGTTGTTGTTGTTGTTGTTGTTGTTGTTGTTGTTGTTGTTGTTGTTGTTGTTGTTGTTGTTGTTGTTGTTCAACAACGCACGGCTGCACGCAGGTTCGTGACGGAAGACCAGGATCGGCCATCCATCCGGGCGAACAGAAACAGAAACTTCACGTCCGTGTCACACGGCAACAGCTGTAGGCCCGTGCACTTCCCCAAAAAATTCACAGCGGTGCGCACGGAGATACTGTACCGTTTCGTGGCGCTCGCCTTCCAGGCTGCTTGAAGGCAACAGTGGATTGCCGACGCGGCTTTGCGACACGCAGCAGGTCGCGACAGACTTTCTGGACGACGGACTGACCTGGTCGCGCGTCGCGCGGCCCCTCGGTGGGAGGGCGACGGGAGCGGGAGGGAGGGGCGGGGGGGGGGGGTACAGGCGGGAGAGAGGGAGGTGGGTGAAGGGATGTGAAGGGTGCACCGATGATTGGTGAGATGTTTAGCAAGTGTGTGAGTGCACAACTAGATCAGGTGCAGGTACGCAGGCCTCCTCGTACGGCCGCTCATCGAGGAACCATGGGTGTACCCCTTAAGGCACCCGAAGGAGTCGAGCGGCCCAGGCCGCACCTGGGACAACGTACCATCCTCTCTAACCTCATCCCCCTCCACTCGCACCCACCCCAATTTCATGCTCTTAGTTCTCCTTTTGGGTCTCCGTCTTCATCGGGCCTTAGGGGTAGGGGATCATGGAAGAGGAGGGGAGGAGGAGGGAGGGGGTACGGCTAACCCATGCCCCACCGAGGGCGCCCCCTCTAGCACCTTTCAAGCTGGTGGGTCCGCGGCCCTTGGAGGGGAGCCTTCTTTCTGGCGCTCGGACGGATCCACCACCGACCAGCAAATCCAGATCGGGGGCGGGAGCGTACAACCCTCCTCGTCCCACATTCGCCATGGGGCAGTTGGGTCTCCGGACCTTTCCTCGGGCAAAGGGGCGGGGAACGGATCCGGCGACGCCCGTGGTCCACGAGCGCCGTTTGGCGAACGAGTTGTTTCGGGGTTTTGTGAAGAGTGCCTTTTGGACCCATCGACATTGGCAAGTAGGACACGTCGTCAAAGCAGGAGCTTGCGTCGCAAAGAGGACCGTAGGAAAGCTAGGAAGAGGGAGAGAGCTAGTAAACGATCCCCGGCTCTACGCAATTTGTCACTGTTACGTAAGCATAAGCAGGAAAGCAAGACCTGTTACCTTCCTGGGGGGACTTGGAATACCAGGAGGTTCGGAGCAGGCGATCAGGCCATGAACCAAGAATTCAGGGCAGAATGCTTGTTCACGTTGATGAACACCCGTAAGTGCCAAGTCTGCCTGCTTTCCGATTTAGATTTCCATACAAACGGGGTCCCGGAATAGGAATACAGGGGGATTAAATGGACCCTAGTTGTAAGAGGGAAGGTAGGGATTGCACTTAGGGGTGATCTGGCTGGGGTGGTCGAAAAAATCGAAGGGCGACGCGCTTAAACGTGGGAACACGTCTATGGCCACACCGGGGAGCATGATAAAGAGCTGGCGGACGGGGCCGCTGAGTTCGGCCGGTTGGGCCGCATCTCAGCCGTGTCGCGTCGTCTTACAGCCCCCCCGCCAGCGGTGCGGGATTTGGCATGGAACGAAACGGACTTTTGTAAGAATTGTGGAGTTCAGGTGCTAAGTAAGGACATAGTATGGCACGTCCGCCAGCGCCAGGCCGCGGGGCAGGCAATCCCGAATGGGAAAGCCAAGTGTCGGAAGTGCGGGACGTTAGTCAAAGAAGGCTGTCGGCTTGCGCACGAGACCAACTGTCGGGGCAGCGATCTGGCCAATCGCACGTGTGTGAAATGCGGCGAGGTCTTCCTTGCCCCGCCAGAAGGCATGCTTAGTCGCGCCGTGGGGGTCCATGGGGAATGTTGCAAGGGTCCTCCGGCTGGCGCGGGTAATGCCGCGGGAGCCGCCGCGGCTCCTGCAGGCGCCGCTTTCGCCGACCAAACGCCCGGCTCGGGCCGAGGCCGCACCCAAGGCTAAGGCCAAGGGCAAGGCCAAGCCTAAAGCTAAGGCCAAGGCCAAGTCCCGCGCACGAGCGCTCTGGGGCCATGGCCGCCCGGCGTCGGCGAAGGCTAAGGCTCGACTCCAGGCTAAACCTAAAGGTAAGGCCAAAGGCAAATCACGCGCTCAAGGTTGACGGCCTGTGCAGCCTTCGGTGGACTATGCGCCCGCTTTCTTTTTGGGTCTCAAGCTCACAGCCGCGAGGGTCGCCGCCACCGGGGGCTCGGTCCTCCTCCTCCTCCTCCTCCTCCTCCTCCTCCTCCTCCGGCCCGCGGTCGTGGTGGCGTTCGCGGTATGGCTGCGCGCTGCCAGTGATGGTGTTTCCACACCGCAGTCTGCCGATGGCGGGTTCCCCCGACCATCCGGGGGCGGCAACTAGGACAGGCTTGCCATTTCCATCTGCCAGGCCACCGGTTTCTACCGAGTGGCCAGCCGCCCCCGCGCCCCACGCAGCCGGGGCTGAGCTTGTCGGTGTATTGGCGAATACGTGTGGATGTGAATTTTTTGGGTACGTTATTGATGGTGAGGTAAGTAACGTCCCTCTCTAGGTCCCCACATCCATTCCCCCCTACCATCTTTTTGTGTACGTTATAGGTGTGGATTTAGGTTTACGTTCCTTTCTAGGCCCCCACATCATTTCCCTCCACCATCTTCTCTATCAGCAAGCGTTGATGTCTCTTTCTGCTTGGGCGCTTGTATCATTCCAGCAGCCACACGAGGCGTTCATGCTTACTCTGATTATTATTTCGTACACGCGGCGCGTGCTCCAGCCCAGCTCCGCGCCGCGCCACGCCACGCCCCCCGCCCGCCACCGGTCCCCGCGCCATCCCGCCCGGCTAGCCAGCAGAAATGGGCACCCGTGCCGAGCGCCGGGACCAGGTGGACGGCCGCCTCGGAACCTGGACGCTGCGGTCGGGCGCCTCGAGAGCGGCTACGCGAGATTGCGTGGCCGCGTCGAGCAGCTTGAGAAAGGTGGTCGCTCGGTCTCGGCGGGGTCCCTGGGCACTTGCGAGGCGGTGTTTCAGCGCCGGCATCCTGCCCAGCAGTTCCGCGAACTGCGCCAGGAGTGGCCCTTGGCCCTGGCAGAGACGGTTGCCGGACACCTCGGGCTTCAGTTCCTGTTGAGCCTGGGGGCAGATCGGGGCCGAAGGCGACGCAGTCTCGAGCACTGTCCGAGATTGTGGAGACACTCTCGCCGGACGGGGCCCTGCTGGGAGCGCGCGGCCAGGGCGCGTGGTCCGACGCCGCCGGCCGCCGCGAGCGCCTCCCGGGGCGCTTTACCCTGGTGCTCGACCCCGGGTGCGAGTCGGGGCACGTGCGCAGCAGGTTGCGCGCGCTGGGCCGCCCTCTTCGGAGGGCGCCCGGCCTCGCTTTGAGCTGGGGGCCAGCGCCGGCCCCGGCTCCAGGACAGCAGCCGCCGCCGCAGGCGCTGCTCTGGGCCGGGAAGACAAAGACGGAGAAGGAGAAGGGCCAGAAGGGCGGCGGCGGCAAGGGCGGCGGGGGCGGCAAGGACGGGGGAAAGGCCGAGGGCGGCAAGGCCAAGGGCAAGGGCAAGGGCAAGGGCAGAAGCCCAGACCCAGGGGCGCTTCGGCGCCCGGCCGCGGCCCTGAGCGGCGGTGAGCGGCGCGGGCAAGGGGGCGGCGGCAGCGGGGGCGGCCTTGGCGGCAGCCGCGGCCGCGGCGGCCGCTCCAGGGGGCGGGGGCGGCGGCAGCGGCGCAGCCGCGCCGGCGGCCGACGGGGGTGACGGCGGTGGCCCTGCCTCCATGGCCGTCGAGCTGGCTCACGGAGTCAGGAGGGGTGATGTTCCGAGCTGACGCAGCTACGAGGGGTGATGTGCCGAATTTACTGCGTGACACAGCGACGAGGGATGATTTTTCGAGCTGTTCAAGCTACGAGGGGCGATGTACGAATTTACTGCATGACACAAGTGGCTGGGGATCTAATGCCCTTTGTAGCTGTAGATTCGCGAGAGAGCTCACTATTCGGACGGGTGCCCCGATCGTCTCGACCCCCCGCGAGTGGGGCGCCGGCAGGAGGGGGGGCCTCCTGGGGCTTGGGCCATGGGCGGGCGACCATCACCCACGGCAGTTTGCGCCGAAGCGGTCACCGCTGGCACGGCCCCCTCCGCGCGGACCGTGTCCGCGAGCCTCGCGTTGGGGGTTCCACGGTGTGCTGGGCGTATGTGACTGGTGCGTTGCGTGCATGTGCGGATGTGGCGTTGGGTGATGAGCGCGATCGCGATTCGACGTCCCTCCTCTTCCCCTTGCTGGCCCCCCCCCCTTCCGGTCGGGCCCCCCCCCTCCCCCTCCTCCTTTCCCCCCTTCCTCTCTTGCCCCTCTTGCCCCCCCGTGCCCTTCGGCCCCCGCCCCCCCCCCCGTCCTCGTCGGGGCCCTGGCCAGGGGGGGGGGTCGGTCAGGGCCGCCCCCCGATTCTTTTTTGCAGCCCCAGGTTGCGCATATTCGCTTACCTACCGGACCTGGAGCCTTTCGAGGCTAGCACCAGGATGACGCGGGCGTGGGCGTGGACGCGCACAACTAGATCAGTCGCTCATCGCTGGCGCCCCCGGCGGTTCGGGGGCCAACTCTGCGGCGCGACGCATGGGGGGCCAGACGCTGGGCCTTTCGATAGGCCGCGGTCCGACGGCCAGCGGACAAGGTCGGACCTGGCGGGGCAGGTTCTGATCTTGCGTCAGGTGGATAGTAGCGACGGCCGGAAGCACGGGGCCCCTAGGTCCTCCGGGCGCAGAGCGACGACGCGCAGAGATGCGTCGTCGGCAACAGCGGAGTATAAACATCGAAGCGTCTCCTCGAGCAGCGCGCGCGGCGGGTGGGCCCAGACCGCGCGGCTGCCCAGCGGAAAGCTCTGGAAGGCGTCGCTCTGGGGCGAGTGCCGCAATGCCGAGTCTGTCAGCGAACGCGCCGAGTTTGAACCAGACGCCGCATCTCGATTCGACCTCTCGAAACAAATGTTTCCTAAGCGCGGCGCCTCTGAACCGGCCCTCGCGCCAGACATGCGCGAAGCCCAGAGACCCGTGGAGCCCGCGGCCGCAATGATGTTGCTGTTGCCTGGGGTGTGCAAGGCCAGCGTCGGCCCTTTCGAAACGACGTGCCAACGATTCAAGGAAAGGCGTCCGCCAGCAACGCAAACTGACGTTGCGCGCGGTTGCAGAGTTGTCGAGCCCGAACAGCACTCGCCAGCCTTTGATGCAGGAAGGCTCACTGAGCAGGCACTGGACTGCAACACGCAATTCTTTGTAGTGGATTTCCAAGGAATTGGGTTGCACTTCGCGGGTTGCAAAATCATCAGGCCAAGTCTCAGAGACGACACGGCTGCCCCAGCACAGATGGTAGGATCAGCCGCGCCGTTTGGAAGCGTCGCACACCGCAACGCGGATTGCGCTCTGGCGGGCAAGATTCGCCCGGCCAGCGAACTCTGGCTGTTTGTGGCTCCACGTGCTGAGTGGGCCACCGCCGCAGCGCAGGAAACAGTCCAGGGGCGCGCATAAAGATGAGCAGACGTGCGCCAAGGCCGCGCGACTGAGCTCCAAAAGAGTGACCAGGGGATCGGCCGATGGGCAGGGGCGCCCTGCCGAATACATTCTAGACGCGTTGAAATCAGCCAACAAAGGGTGTAGACGGCAACGCAATTTCGGCAGGAGCTCCGCAATTTGCGATGCCAAGCCTACTGTGGATGCCGGCCGTTTTCTGCAGATCGCGCGCGGCGTTGATCTGCCTCGAGAACGGCAGTGCACAATTCGCGACAGGTGAAATTGTTCGAATGCACTCAACAGTGTCAAAGACCCAGCCGATCCAGGTTTACCGGCGCGCTGGCATGCCGCCAGGCTTGGCGCTGATGGGGATGCCGCGCCGCAGCAGGAAACGAACCGCTCGGCACAGGTTCTGCCGCGCCGCGTTCCCGCCCGGCGCTGCGCCCAGAGAGTCGTGCGCGAAGCTTCGGATATCCATCTCGGTGCGCAACCGAAGTATTATTCAAATGTCCTTCACGTTGGTATCGTTGATACCATGCGCAGGGGTGAGGCCGAATGGCGAATATATTTTTGCCCGAGCTGGCGCCTGCTAGGAGAATAAAATCTAGAGCGTACGAGTCGGCGTCGGAGACGCGCCAACGAAAAAGCAGTCGCGCAGATCGAGCACCACGAGCCAGGAGCCCGCGGACGCGCGGGCCACGGCCAGATCCAGCGCGCACGCAGCAGCGGCGCTCGGCATGCGCTCGTTGATGCCCCCTCGCCGCAGATCGACGATCAAGCGCGCTTTGAAGCGTTCGGTTCCGTCCGCCTCGCCATCTAGGGGCGCGGCTCCAGGAGCAAGCCGCAAGGGGTGACATTGAGGTGTTTGGGTGGCGGGGTGCCAACTGGAAGAAGGGGAACCTTCCTCGCCGCAGGAAGGCGATCCCATTGGCTTTCGGCCCACGCGGGCTTGGACGCGTTGGAAGGGCGATTGCGAGCCTTCCTCGGAACGAGAGGCAGCGCGCCTAAATAATTCCCGCGCCGCCAGGAATGCAGCAGGGCGGGGTCCGCGCCGTTCGCGGCCAGGTAATCGAAACGGGGGCGAAGGCCGGGAACGCCTCCCCACCCTTGCAGGCCGGCATTTCCTTGCTGGACTCCTGCTAGGAGTTCGTCCATCGTAGAAGCTTCATGCTTGCGCCAGACTGCAGAAAGTTATGGGATGGCGACATGGGGCGCGGGGGCGGGCACGAATGCCCCTAGAAAAGTTTTTCTTTCAGAGAGCGGGAGGGCTCGATGCGAGAAGGCGACGGGCGATGGTCAGGCAGGGGAGCAAGAAGGGTGTGAAGCGCAGTTGTCTTCATGGTGCTTCCTTGCGCCTCGCACTCAGCGATTATGGCGGATGCCACAATACTTGGGCAAGGCCCAAGAAGGGGAACGCGCGCCACCAGAGCGCTGGTCTCGAGCGGAATGTTTCTTCGGAGCGGGCGCCAGTAGCAGCGTTTCCTCGAGTGGGCATGTCATCCAGGCGCGGGCGATGCCAGAGAGAGCCGCGTCGATGACAAGGCTTGCAAGCCTCGCTTGCTCTCCTCCCCGCCCCGCTCCTGACGGGGAGGCAGAGAGAAGGGGGGTGGGGGGGGGGGGGGGTCTGAGGCGTGCGTATATGAGTTGCGCATGTGAGAAGGGCGCGGGTACACACATCTATATATACACACACGAGATTTGAAGGCTCGCTGCGCCCCGCCTTCCAATATTTTCCTTCAACCGCCGTGTCTCTCGTGACGCTGCGGTCCAGGTCGTCGTCGCCGTCGCCGCCGTCGTCGTCGCCGCCGTCGCCGTCGTCGCTGTCGTCGTCTTAGTCGTGGGCTGCGGGGAGGAGGCGGGCCCCCGAGACGGAAAGAAAACCGCGCATCAAATTGTGGTTCCCCGGGCCCTGGAAGCCCGTCGTGGAATCTCTTTGGGGCCCTTAGGTGCGTCTTGGGGCCCCTCGGTGTCTCTGGCGAGCTTGGATGACAGTCTCTGGTTTGGGGCCTTTTCAGAAGGCAGCGGAGGAGGAAGACCGCGAACCAGAGGAGGAGGAAGATCAGGAGGAGGACGATCAGGAAGATCGTAGGCCCGTGGTGGGGTCTTCTTGGCCCGTCCAGGAGTCTCGCGGGTGCTTGTGGGGAGCTGGTGACAGCAGTGTAGGGTCTGGGGTATGTTCTAGGTCCTCTCGAGATTTCCGTGGGCTCCTGAGACGAAAGGAAAACTGCGCATCAAATTGTGGTTCCCCAGGCCCTGGCTGCCTGTCGTGGGCCCTCTCTGGGGCCCCCTGGGTTTGTCTTGGGGCCCCTGGGTGTCTCTGAGGAGATGGTGATGGCAGTCTCTGGTCTGGGGCCTTTTCAGAAGGCAGCGGGGGAGGAAGACAACGAACTACATGATGAATAAGAGGAGCAGGAGGAGGACGAGCAGGAGGAGGAGGAGCAGGAGAGGGAGGAGGAGGAGGAGGAGGGGTCGGAGAAGGTGGAGCAGAGGGAGGAGGGGGAGAAGGGAGGGCAGAGGGGAAGCAGAGAGAGGAGAAACATGAGAAGGAGGAGGAGTTGTTGGGAAGCCACCCAACAACGCCCCACCAGAGGTGCGTTGTTGGGAAGCCACCCAACAACGCACCTCTGGTGGGGCGCTGGGGCAACCGCCAAGGAGGTGGCAGCCGCGCGCGGAGTGGACCAAGGTTGCCCGCTCTCTCCAGGCTACTTCGCCTTAGCCCTCGCGGGGCCACTGGCGGCCATGGATGCGCAGCTGCGGCAGTTGGCTCCGACGGCGCGCGCATTCTCGTACCTCGACGACGCGGTGGCTGTCTTGCCCGCCGCTGTTGC